CCAAGAACTCACTTGATCGTTTTAGCAATCGAGATATTGTCGTTTGATCGACTTTCACTTTTAACGTCTGTTTACACTATTCAACAAGGTTATTCTGTTTTTTCAAGCAAATTTCACGTCTTTGTATATTTGTCAAGGTCATTTTTGTCATAGGAGAAAAAGAAAAATCTTTATTATCGCTTACAAAAGAATTTTATTGTAGATGTTTATTGCCCAATCAATTGGTTTTGTTCTATATCATGTGACTCTCCTCCAAATGCATAACTCCTTTTAATGCATAAAAGTTCATGGGTCCCGACGGTATGCATTTAGAGGAGTCTGACTGTATATCGATTTCCTAAAACGTCTATTTGCAGCTACTGCGTTCGTTACACCGAAAATTTGGAATGCCGCAGCCGTCGTAGATCGCTTGTACCACAGAGCGGAAAGATTACATCATCATTATTAGTCGTATCTGACAGACTTATATTAAAATCTGCAATATTTTCTCTTTGTTAATTATCCCCATGCTGTCTGTCTATTCGTGTATAATGAAGCCTGAAGCGAGGGTCACATATGGATATGGTACCGACATATTGTCTTGAGCAAGAAAAAAAGCTTACAGCTAACGGTATTTTATGGGAAAGTCAAGTAAGAAATAGCCATGTCTCTTCTTTGTACATAGAATTCTGCTATAAAGTACGCTGTTCGTAGCCATACAGAAGGTACGCATTATTCTGAAGGGCTATGATGCTAATGAATGCATATGCTCATATATATAAATTATTCTACTGCATGTCCCGTCTAGGGATCTGTAAGAAGTTTATACCAAGATATTGAGAAAGGGCTCGATAATTGCGTGAACGAGATAGTGCTTGTAGCAGTACGACCCGCAAAAAAAGCTACTTTCGTTTACTGAAAGGTACGTCTGATCTGATTATTGGGAAATTGGAACAAGGGGTTGGTAAAAATGGCTGTTTTTTAACTCGACGATTCTGCAATTCCATTGATCCATATTTGTCCGAAAACTTTGATTGGTCTTCACATATAAGGATTTAATCTGGAGCCCGCTCCAATTCCAATTTTATGACTAGAATTGAGGCGATAAAGCAGAATTACACTTGACGTCACTTGGAAAAATTTTCATGCAACTGAAATCACGATGCCAACTACAAGCGGGCAGCAAATGCTCATCCTTTACACAAAGCAACTTTTGCTCTTTTCGCTCACATTGTAAGTGTGCCTACGGTTAATAAATAATATGGTTAAGTTACTTTTACTATTTAGACACTTTGATGGCTTTCAGAATACAAGATGTCTCATTCTGTGAATCATAATAACGACGAGGAAAGTTAAAAGTTCAATAGTCGACTACTGGATCATAGCAAAAAAGCGTTGCATTATCATCAACGAGAAGACTGTTAATTAACAAATATTCTATCGCGATATAGGAATAACGTTACGGAATAAAGATGAAGACTGCGTATACGAGTAATCTTCAGGTAAAAATACAATCTGCGTATAGCTATATAATCGGTACTGTAAGATAGGCTTTTTTTCCAACTTCTAACAAATATTCTATATAGAAATATAGAACAATTATGGAAATAACGTTACAGAATGAAGACAATTATTGCGATATATAAAAAATGCTACATTAATCGGACAATAAGACAACCCTTTCTTTTCTGACTTTTTGTGACTGAAATAAAATAACAGTATTGCGCGTTGAATGTTTGTTCGTTCACGCAAATGTATTCCACGAGAACTCCTTTATTTGTGCAAATGTACGGCATTTGATAAGAATGTGTTGATCTCGCGCTTACAGTTTATTTTGCAATTATACCGAATATTATCTCATCGTAGAAAAGTCTTATTTTCCGTTCCTATATAGTGGAGTGGATGGTTTCTCTATTATTATGGTTTTCGCGTCAACGCAATTGCTCAGAATAATTAGATATGTATATAATAATAACATTCTTCAATGGTTGTGTTAGCAATTTAATACTTTTTATTAGATGTACATATAAAGATATGCTAGTTTTAATCACGACTTTGACGTCAAGTGTAAGCCTGCTTTTAATGCCTTAATTCTGTCATGAGTTAGGATTGAAGCGGGCGTTACTCCAGATTAAATCCTTATATGTGAAGAACCAATCAAAGTTTTCGAACAAATATGAATTACAGAATCGTTAGAGAAATTTGGGGGTCGTTATGTGAGCTATTGCAGGCTGTTATTTTGATTAATCAACAAAAGTAAGGGTCGGAAATGTTTGAAAAAGCAATTCTTAAAAAATATGCTTGTTTGGCATTGAAATTAATCGATTTTTCAGAAAGTAAATAGTACAAGCCAAAGAATACATATGTACTGGCTGTTTTCAAAATCGTACAACAGTATCGAGTAATAAGGAATAAAGCTAATATTCGCAACGGTTTTGATGCTTAAAGCGAAACGCTTTGTAAAGAATTGTCAAATAATAAATTATAGAGAGAGAAGTTGCATAAAAGTTCTATAAAAGATTTAATAATTAGTAAATATGTAAATAGCAGAAAGGCCATAATATGTGGTTTGCGCACAAATTTAATATAGAACGATGTGAGATTAACTATGAGTATATATCAAGAAATGGGAAAGTATATCGCGTAGAAGTTCAGTGAATGTGTTTAATATGTTTACGTTTAGAATTTTTATTCGTCAACTTACGAAGCCGGCTTCCAATGTTCGATAATTAATTAAATAACATAAATTCAGCACTACAGCATTTACGGTGAAGGCTTAAATTGTATTTTGACAGAAAGTGAATACAGTTACTATATCATAGAAGGGGCCGTAATCACAATGATTTGATTATATAAATAATCGTCATTTATGGGCCTGTACCATATGTGATGCTTTTATAGCGACTCAAGAATTGATATTACTGACAAAACGCGAAAAGTGTTTTACTTATTATAATAATAGGAAGACATCATGTCATACAGTAATCGTTTACGAGGGCATATGACGTTTGTATGTAAACTGTTATTATTATTACTAAGCAATGATCGACAAATCTTGTCAAATAATGGAGTAGCAGAAGAGGAAATGAGAAACGGTTAACTGCATTATGTTGACATTGTTACGACTTTGAGTTATGATAAGAAAACTTTTAAATAAAAGGCTAAAGACCGAAGCGTGAAAGCTCCTTCTCCTTGTTTTTTTGGAAAACAAAAATTTTTGCAGAAAAAATTTTCTTCTTCATGTACAGTCTTGCGTAGGTTATTCCAAAGTAGATTACTTAATTTTAAAACTCTAAAAATTTTTACATTAGAGAGACTGAAGATCAGGTTTACGTATGAAAATAACTATAAGTTGAAACTCAGACATGTGCTTAATTGTTTTGTTTGTCTATTTGTTGGCTGTGGCTTTCCATTTAGCCGGCGGCAGATGTTGTCGTTATAGTTGTGTAGGGTTTTTTTGTGGGTGTTTGGTGTCGATCAAGTATATAGCTTTGGTTGGTACAGTAGTTGCAATAGTTAAAATAGAGTATACGGTTTATGTCTGTTGTGTTGGAATGCCGCGCTTGTGGAATGCAAGTGAATGAACATGATGGGCTATCGCACGTATGGATTGGTGGGACTTGCATGTGAGTGATAATAAATATGTTTGCGAAACTGAAGAATTTATCGTTATTTGCAGATCCGTATAGAATTTATCGTTACTTGCAGATCCGTATAGAATTTAGAAAATATGATTGCGTAACGTTTATTTTATTTGGAGATATCTTTTCCAAATCGGGCTAATTGCATAATATTCACATGAGTTGAAAATATAATTAGTATATAGAGCAACCCATTTTTACTCATCGTAAAGACATCACCATCCTATTTACTTCACCACTCCGACATGGCATTAGCATCAAATAACATTCAAAATCTACAAGGCTCGACGGATGACAATAACCCTCCTATCAATCCACCCACGGACAATCCTGTCGTTAATAATTTTGTACCCGATCAACCACCCGTCGGGAGTATCGCATACCTCCCAGATAATAAACCAGACGTAATATACACGCCGAGTGGTGAACCTATACAGGTTTTAGTCGAAGGGACTCCCGTTGCGCCTCCAGCAGCGTCACCGCTGAGTAATTTTCGCATGACAAAGGAAATTTGTATTGCCATAGCTGCGTTTATCTTCGTTCTGATTGGTATTATAATGTCTAACTCATCGCTAAACTCTTGTACTCAAAACTGTTTATTTCATGTTCGGCTTCAACTTCGTACTCGCGATGTTCAGGCATATCCAAAGTGCCTTATGAAATGTGCAAGTACATATCACGCGGTTAAGGGTGCAGGAAGTGCATTCCTGGTTATTGGAGCAATTGTGCTGTTGGGAGCCGGAGCCTTCATGTACCAAAAACGACAGGAACAACTGATGCAGCAGCAAAACAATCAAGACATGCAGCAGGCTCAAATAAATGAATAATAGTATTCATTGTCGTTGTCACCATCTGCCAATTTTATGAGATTTACGTTTTATTTAACCTCTTAAAAATTTAGTTGGACTGTTAGCAGTACAAGCTCTGAATTTCCGTCTGACAATTTACTTTTTTTGCTGATATTCTGATGATTTGTCATGATTTAGGAAATTACAAAGTCCGGCTGTTTATGTATATATATTATATAAGACTAAGACTAAGACTAAGACTGGCTCAACATTTTTCGCCTCCGCACTCGCATCCTTTTTATAAAATTCTTGTGTATCGTTGCTCCAATCTGGAAATAAAGCTTTTTTGTAACGTTTCATTGATGATTGTATTCAATATATAACAAATATTTTAGTACACATTTTCGCTTTTTTGCTCATATATATTCGTTTGAACTAAAAACGTGCACACCCAACTTCAATATTATAAACATTTTTCATATTCAAGGTTTCTTTATTTCAAAGTTTTTACCATTATTTTTCTTTTTTTGTTATTGTCACGGATGATGCTGAAGTCCCCGTGACCGATTTTCTGTTACCTAATCGTTGCGGGTACCGTGGCTCATATCTCAAAAATTACGTCATAACACAAATGCTCTTTAATGAAGAAATACTAACATATTCTGAAAATTCGCACGTAAGCTTTTCCGAATGCAAAAATTAATTGTGAACAGCCAACGAAAAATTAAACAGTGGTTCGAAATGGGTGCTTTTTGTTTGTGTAAAAACTTATAGTCTTCTTTTAGACTAACTTCAGCAGCGATTATCTTACTTGCAATAAAATGCTGAACATTCATTGTTTTACAACGAAATCGATGCTTTGCTACAAATTATTAACTTACAAGTTAAAATTAGAACCTTTGATATCAATAATAATTTGTTATCAGATCGATTTGTTTTGTTAACTAATTTTTTGTCGTTTGCACAAATGTACGGAAATTCCACCTAGTGTATTTGCAAATTATACATCAGCAAGTAGACCAACTATCTGTGGCACGTAAAATTGTTTCTATTATAATATTACCAAAAGAGTCGATGTCTCATAAATGTGTGAAAGACGCAATATTTAGTAAAATATTGAATATTGTTTATTAAAGGTTGTTTAACTACTGCGAGTATAGCAAAAATTTCTCCATCAATATAGATTACTATACGTACATTATCGTATGTTGCTTTGAGGTAAAAAAGTATATGCGTAATTGTCTAGGGGTAAGAGGTGAATTGTGGGTGAATGCCAAAAACGAGATCGAGGAGACCCCGTGAACGAGATTTGAATGAGAACAAATATGCAAGTATTATGTAAAAGATGAAAATCAGGCCTGATTTAAGTCGCAAATAGCGCGGAAATGATTATCAATTGTGCAAAAAAAGATGACGCTTAATGTGGCAAGATGTGAGAGATCATGAGGCCCGTTGAGATCTGAAAAGGTTAGCTAATTACATAACGCAGCTTATCAATAATCAGTTGGGGTCACATATTGCGTATACAGGTTACGTTTTGAGGCCTTTACCAGAAATATTACGTAAATCAGATTTACATACGACATAAATACAGCCAATCAACATATTATTGAGTAACGTCACATAATTGATCAACGTCAACAATCATGTTTGTAAACAATTTCTCTGTGAAACATAATACAACCCTGACTAGGCAATAAAACAACAGTAAATGTCTTGGCACAACTTGTACTAGATATCTTCTAATTTGCAATTGAATTGTTTAAAAATTACTTCAGTCATCTTTTGGAAAAGACGTCCACGAACGCTCAATTAGTAGAACAACTGTACATAGATGGATGAAGAAAATGTTTTTCTAAGATTTTACAAAGTCAATTATTACTATCTGTAATATCAGTAGTTCAGCCAACATGTTTATAAAATGATACACAGTCTAAACAATTCTACTTTTTCATTGTCAATTGATTAAATTATTTGCCCAAAATAACCAACTGATTGTTTGCCTTGATAATCAATTTATAAGAAAGTAACAACACGGAGTAACAAATATCAACGCACAATGAATCTTTCTTTAAAAGAAAAAACAATTTTGAAATAGCAAATTTTTTGAATTTATTATCATACTGTGTCTATAGTAGAAACTATGTTAAATATAGCCGTACAAGTTGCTTGTCGTAATGTCTTTAGCTAAATAGCCCTAAGCAGTGTCAAGATGGGAATAAACACAATGTCAATTTACATACGAAAACGAGTAATCAGTATGTTATCTACAGTCACACAATTCATCTAGTCGACTTGTATATTCGATATACAGAGATTTATCCGGCATATCACACGGCGGCAAAATTATCTCTACTTTAGGATAGTACCATTTTGAGTTCTCAGTGAAAAAAAAAAAGGAAGTGCGGTATCCATGTGTTACAAATACAAGGGCATATGATCGAGTTTATAGTCTTTTACATATATGAAGTTTTTCTTTGCCGATCATATGCATTGATGATTAGTATATAGAGCAACCCATTTTACTCATCGTAAAGACATCACATCACCATCCTATTTACTTTGCTCGTTCGATATGGCATTAGCATCAAATAACATTCAAAATCTACAAGGCTCGACGGATGGCAATAACCCTCCTATCAATCCACCCACGGATAATCCTGTCGTCGTTAATAATTTTGTACCCGATCAACCACCCGTCGGGAGTATCATATACCTAGATAATAAACCAGGCGTAATATACACAGAGAACGGTGAACCGATACCGGTTTTAGACGAAGTTCCGCAAGGGACTCCCGTTGCGCCTCCAGCAGCATCACCGCTGAGTAATTTTCGCTTGACAAAGGAAATTTGTATTGCCATAGCTGGGTTTCTCTTCGTTCTGATCGGTATTATAATGGTGGCAACGTCTAAATCATCGCTAACATCTTGTCTAGTAAACTGTTCAAACAATATTCAAAGTCAACTTATTGAAGGCAATTATATGGCATATCCAAACTGCATCAAGAAATGTTCAAGTACATATCACGCGGTTAAGGGTACAGGAATTGCATTCCTGGTTATTGGAGCAATTGCGCTGTTGGGAGACGGAGCCTTCATGTACCAGAAACAACAGGAACAACTGATGCAGCAGCAAAACAACCAAGTCATGCAGCAGGCTCAAATATAAAATGAATAATAGTATTCATTGTCGTTGTCACCATCTGTTAGTTTTTAACAATTTTATAATAATTATCATGTATTATCTATATTATTAGTTATACGGTGGTCGAAATCTCTTTTTTTTTTTTGCGGTTAGGGTGTCCGTTTTTTTTTTTTGCTCAGGGGTCTTTACTTTCTATGATGTTTCGATGTATTTGAGATCACTTGTTTATTCATATCGATAGCGAACAGATAAATAAAATGCTATGATACAATTCCAAAATGTTTGCGTCTGACAAAGTGATGGTTTGGGAGTTTTCACACAAACATTTAGTAACCGCTTTAACCTGAAATGCTTTGTGAGTATCGTCATGATAAGCAGTGTAATGTAATACAAAGTATTTGTTTTCTCCACTGAATAATACCTAATTGGGGATTTTTTCATAAACGTCATTGCCGATCATGTTACAAAGTGCAATGGCGCAAAATAATCTCAACAAACGCAAGAAGCTTTTTCTCAAACATGCTTCTAAACATGCAAGAGTAAGATTGCGATTTTGTACTCTATAAGTTGATAACAGGCATGAATACAATAGTAAAAATGCTTGTTATACTAGTTTAAATGATTAGATGTTGATGTCATGACAGCTACTTGCCTGTTATGGTAATCGACCGGACTCTTTCTCCGGACTTGTTGATTACTGGCCTGCGTTTGACAAAATTGTTTGATTATACATGCGCCATCTCAATCGTGATAGTATTAGCATCACACAGATTACGCCAAGAAAAAAAGATTTTATGCGATAATAATACCGCTGAATAAATAATAAATAATATGCGCATCCATTAAGTGTTGCGTTCTCACACACGTTTTTTTTACAAACGTTAGTATTATCAAATAAGGTAATACAATGATAAATGAGACGACATTGACGAGAAACCACATGAAGCATACACACAACTTGAGGATTCTACATCTTTGTTTTATTTATTTGAAGATACTGCGTTAACCATAGCATCTATTACACTCGAATTCTAACCGAAACAAAATTTCAGCAAAGAAGTTATTTACCAGACAAGTTTTTTTTGTGATGTGAGTATTACTTGTATTGTATAGACATTGCTGAGAACAGGCAATGTAGGTTTGCTAGATAGTTTGGTAAATAAATTACAAAAATCAAGAAACACTTACTTTTGTCAACCTCAGTATAAAGTTTTTCACCAACACCTTTTATATTCGAATACAAAAAGTCTTATTTACTTACTCAAAAAACATCTGTATCAAAAATAGAATAAAAGACAACATTTTGCAAACTAATTCATACTTAATAACGAATTCTTCCTCCCGGATAAACATTCGTTTTAAAGCATCCGGAAATTTTACTATATGTTATATTAACAGTACGTTAAAGCACTTGACGTTTTGGATTTCTATTTTTAAACCAGAAATGAGAATAATTTCAAACTTTGAATAGCTGCCAGTCCCATCTACTCACGACATGTGCGTCACAAGCCATTTATTCCATTGGTCTAAGACAGCACTCTTGAACATTGTTTTATTATTTGATAGACAACATCGATTTTGCATCGATAACACAGCAATTATTGGCTTTTTCAACAAAATCTAAGGTGTTGTATAGACCGTTGAAGAACTATAGATTAAAGGAAATAATTTTCTTATATCGATATTACCGAATGTTATGGTCTTATTAGGCTAATTTACAACAGTATTGCAATAGGTCGTTAAATAGGTTTGCCGAGCATAAACTGCCAATGCGTAAGACACACACATTCGACAAAGTAATCACCATATAAACGATATTTTAACACTATTTTTTGCCACTAGTGACTCTAGTTTAAAGTTTTACCGCAAAACTAGAAAACCTGAGACTACGCGACAAAGTGTAGACACGAATAATGTGAAAAAGATTTACAAGATTACGAATACTTTTTTCGTAAAAAGCCAGAAATCTAGGAATGACATAGAAGGGATATCTGTGCATACACCTCCAGAGATTTTTTCACTGATGTGTTTATTTAAGTTAGTATATTAAAAAAACGGGTTGTTTATCTTGATCAAATATTAAGACTTACGTGTATCAACTTTATATTTAAAGCAAACTAATATTGCGGTCGGAAGAACATTTTAGAACATTTCAGCTAGGATAACTTTTGATCGAAGCCTTCATAATGTAATTTTAGCAATTTATTAATATGATTTGCGTGTTTACGCTGCTGTTGTTTATGCGTGGCCGAGCTGTGCCATGACAAATCGGATATTCTGACGCAAACGAATGTCTTTGTCAAACTAGCAACATATTGTTGGGACATAAGTTTTCACATAGAGTTCAATATTGGTTACCATAATGTGTTAGCCAAAGAGGTACATGTACGTTTATGTAACAAAACTTTGAAACCAATTTATTATTCTAACTTATTCCGAGTGTATTTAATATTAACGCTTATATGTTATGTAGCATAAATTATTATTTCTGAGCCCGATAATTGATATCTTCTAAATTTAAATTGCATGTTGGCAGTATGCTGCTAATCAATTACCATTCAAATTGTTTAAATCTTAAATCTTTGAGACTTAATTTAGCACATAATTAGTAGCATGTTTGTTTAACTGTATAAGTTATTGTTTATAAACGTAAATTGTAAACTATTATTGTAATAGTAATAACAGTTAACGTCCAAGTTAACACTTATTTCGTACATCAAGCATACTTTGCACTAATCGTTAACGTTGGCTAAAATTAACTTGCACAAACATTTTTGTGAATAATTATTAAATTGATATGTTTAATTTTAATTAAACAAGATTTTGAAAAATATGTTCGTCTTTCTCGAACATTGATCCAACAGACAATTGTGTATTGTCACATTTATGCTGCAAACACTTTATTATTGCTGTAAATTTAGGATAAACAAATACATTTTGAACTTCCTTGAAGTATTCCGTACGAGTAATTTTTTACCCTTAAGAAATTCTTGCATAGTAACTATGCTTCAGTTCTGTTCTGGACAAAGTTGTTTAGTTGAGGACGATTATATAGACAACTATTACAGTTACTTATATACTCCCACAAAATTGATACGCATGCATAGTTAAATAACTGTTTGTATAAGTGACGCTAAAAACAATTTTAATAAAGACATTTCTCACAAACAATTAAAGGTACGACTAAACCTGCTTTGGGTGAGAATAATAAATAAGAATACTCGGTTTTTGTACAACGTTTGAATAGTATTCAGACTCGAACGTACTGTGTATCTGTCTCTTCATTATTTTTAATCAAGTTAATTTTGGGCAAACTTTTTTTAAACTCGTTTTGTGTGAAAAAAAAAAATTTAGTTTTAAGACAAATTTGACACATTCTGCCACTTTTCAATTTACTAGTAAATTATAAAAACTTTTTTCGAAAAATTTGTTATACCATATTTACTGTAAGCTGTAACTTTGTACTGTTGTAAAACTGATTGTTTGTACTTCTCGAAATTAATCCTATTATCGCTGTTTTCAAATTATAGATTTGGTGTACTTTTTGAGTATACTCACATGAAAACGAATGCACTGGCCATCCACATGCTAATATAATTATAAAACAAAAATGGCAACCCGATTAGATTTGATATGTATTTTTCAAGTATTAGTTATAAACCATCAACGTCAAATATTAAATGCAGCTTAGGTAGCTATCTTATCTTCCAATACTATAATTTTAAAGATAATCTTATTGAAAAAAAATAATAATTTATTTAAGAAAAAATGAGTGTTAAAGTAGTTTAAAGTCACTAAAAATTACTTGCATTTAACTAAGGGTAAAAAAATGAAAATGACAGCTTCATTTACAACGGCTAAAATTCAAGATTAATGAATGATTGCTCCTATAATTATTAGATTGACAATTTATTTACCAAACAGCTAATATTTAACAGCACAAGAGTATGAGCCTATACTTTAATAATAAAAATTATAATGAGCTGCATTCAAAATAAGCCCTAAATTCATTAATATTAATTGGAAATGTAAGCAGAAATGGTAGTACCTTTACTTCCCATGTAACCAAACAACACAGTGCAAATATTCATATAAAACTTTAATTATAATTGATATATCTTTAATATTATAAATTGTTTAATTAATCTGCTATTTACTACATCAAATATCTCCAAGATTATTCTTCTTATATTTAGTATAAAAATCGATAATTTGTATTTGGCAAATGCATTTATTATCCGATTTACTATTTTTATAATTTTGTGTAGAGTGTTCTGTATTAATCTTACTTCTTACCACCTTTATACAGCTCAATCTTCTCCCTTATTTTTTCCTTTACTTCTGACCCATTTTCATAAAAAGTATACACCTTACTTTTTGCTTTACTATATCCTTGCTCAGCTGCCTTTTCATAAAATTCAAGTGCCTTTTTAATATTTGCTTCTACCCCAACCCCATTTTCATAATACAGACCAAGCATATATTGTGCATTGGATTTCCTCTTTTAACTCCTAACTGACACAAGTCAATTACATTATTAATGTTAAAATCACCTCCTCTCGTTCTACTATAATGCCTACTGTTTTTAACTTGTATTGACATATGTGCTCGTTTCACTGCACTCTGATATAACTCAGCTGCTTTTTGTTCACTTTTTTCTACTCCAGTTCCATTAGTATAACACACAGCAAGATTATATTGAGCACTGGCATCTCCTTGTTCAGCAGCTTTTTCACACCATTCAACTGCTTTTTGTTCACTTTTTTCTACTCCAGTTTCATTAGTATAACATACAGCAAGATTATATTGAGTACTGGTGTGTCCTTGTTCAGCTGCTTTTTCATACCATTCAACTGCTTTTTGTTCATCTTTTTCTACTCCAGTTCCATTAGTATAACATAAAGCAAGATTATATTGAGCACTGGTGTGTCCTTGTTCAGCTGCTTTTTCATACCATTCAACTGCTTTTTGTTCATTCTTTTCTACTCCAATTCCATTGGTATAACATACACCAAGATTATACT